CACTGATTTCTGCAGGATTTTAGTTGTTCAGGAGATAAAATAAAATTCTAGTGGATGCATTAACCAGAGTAATGGAGACCTCTTGCCTGGTACATTGAGTAGATTGAAATACTGTTGATAATATTCAAGCTGGGATATAATGAGTCATTTGAAATGGAAGAGCCCAAGGAGTTGTTGTTTAACTATGAATGTATCCTCAGTGGCTTTAAATTTGAAATGTAATCCTGCAGCAGATTACAGCATTAGTCTGCTTTGAAATCTTGCCAAATGTTATAATAAATGAAACAAAGGTTCCTTGGTTGCAAAAAAAAGTACTAATTTCTCTTGTTCTTCCAGATTTAGGTTTAAATTTCAGAACAATACACAGCACGTTGCTATGGTAAACTGTTCTGAAGAAAATCGCACCTCATTTAAGGAGAATCTGTTTCCTGCTTAAGTAACTAATATTCTAATTATGTCTGAAGAGAAAGTTTTTGATTATCTCCTGATAAACTCCCTCTCTTATGGTGATGATAATTAAGCAGTTCCCCGAGGACTCCCACAGGCACTGTGTAAGGCCCGCGCTAATTGTCAGACATGAGACACTGACCAGTTGGTTCGCTGTTGAATAACCGACAGCGTGCTGTCAGCCCGGTGGTGTTTTATGCTGAAGCATTGTGAGCTGTTGTCAGGGCTAACCGGGACCTATTGTGACTAAAGATGTTGCGCAAATTGAGGCAGATGGCTCCGATTCAGACACGTGTCATTCAGAAAAGGGAAAATGAGATCGGCCCGCAGAGTGGGGTCACTGCAGGTCAGGGACCGCTCTACACTGGTTAGTGTTTTCAAAAGACCATGTGCGACAAGTTTTTTGTTTTGCAGTAACAAAAAAGTGAGATTCTCTGGTTGGGGGAGGCGAGTGGCTGCGGCCACTGTGCTGTGCTTTCACTCGGCTCCCCCGGGGTCTTGCTTTGCATGCAGAAAGAATTAGCAGGATTGACAGGAGTCTATTGTGGCTCAAATGGCTTTTTAGTCAATTACAATGCTGAAGAGGACAGTTTGGCTTTTAATTCCATGTAATTAACAGATTTCCAGTGTCTTGGAATTCAGTTGTGCAAGATTAGGCTCAAAATAAAAAAAGTTTGCTGTATTCTTCTAGCAGGTATGCCTTGCAACCAGTCTTCAGTTGAGGAATGAAGCAAAACCAAAGTTCAGATTTATGTTTGACAGCTTCACAGAAGATTTGAACAAAATCCTAATGTAATCCTCAGCTTGCATTATGTAGCCTTTATGAACAGTATTAGAAATGGCGTTTGCTGCATTTTCTTTGTCGATAAGCCACTGGAGTCTGGTTGAAACTCTTATTTGCTGATCATTATCACATTTCCTTGTGCTATCACTGAAAGATCTACTAATAATAATAATCCTTTGATATAGCGCTTTTCACGTCATTGAGACGTCTCAGTGCGCTTCATAGAATGTACTGTAAAGTGAACTGACTCTACATTTGTGGGCAAACGTGGCAGTCAATTACGCACAGCAGCTTCCCACAAATAGTCAAAAATTGAGTGACTAAATTATTATTGGTTTATTGCATTCATACCACATGAGTATTTTGGTTATTTTTATTTTCATCATTGAATAATAGTGCCACCCAACATTAGTTTAAACATTTCAGGGGAAAATATTGTGTTGCTTTTAATTGTTGTAATTTGATTATCTCCTTTACTGTTTTGTTAATATAATATAATAAATAATCCTTGCATTTGATTTAGCGCTTTTCATGTCTTCTAGACGTCTCAAAGCGCTTCACAGAATAATTTCCTCGCACTGTTGATTTTCCAAAGCCAGTGGGCTGTGTTAGACCTCTGTTTATGGAAGCTGATGAAAGATAACTTTGAATGTCTGGCGGTGATTGACCCTCCAGTTCGTTCCCTCTCTGTATTGAAGAAGTTGGCCTTCACTTGACACCTCTGATGGCACAGCTGAAATCAGGACTACACAATGCAAAAGTATCAGAATAAAACCACTGGTTATTGCTGTTTATGAGTTGCATATTTCAAATTTCAGTTGTGCAAATAATTTATCAAAATTGTAGAACACAGATGTGCATTACTCCAAGGCAAAATACTGCAGATGCTGGAAATCTGAAATAAAAACCAGAGTCGCTGGGAACACGCAACAGGTCAGGTATCATCTATGGCGAGAGGAAGGTGAGTTAATGTTTCAGGTCGATGACCTTTCATCAAACCTCTGACACAGTTCTGACGAAAGGACCTGAAATGTTAACTCACTTTTCTCTCTCCATAGATAATGCCTGATCTGCTGCGTGTTCCCAGTAACTTGTGTTTTTTATTTTTGTGCATTACTCCTGGTGGCTAACTGCTCATATTAATTTTGGTTTGGATGATTTAAATCAACTGAATTTTATATATTTTTAAAAATCCAAGATTTCCTAATCATTTGTGCCTTCTTCTGATTAAGCTAGATTAGAAGAGCAAAAGGCCAACACTTTGTCAGCGTTGCTGAGTAATGTTTTTTGGCTCTCAGAGAGTTGTGATGTGAAAGGCGCTGTATCAAATGCAAGGATTATTTGTATCAAGAACAATGAGAAGGAAAGAACATCATAGTTGATCACGAAAATGAATTATTCCCAGATGAAATCTGGACCGTGTTGTTTTACTTCACGCGCTATAATGTAGGTAGAAGCATCAGGAGAAGCATACGGGTATTAGGAAGAGATTCTCGGAATTGAATGTCTAAGAATCAACTGGATCAAATTAGGCCTGGAAATATCAAGGAAAATAGGCAGTGTCTAGTTCACCGCAATAGGCTGCTGACAGGACTAATGAGACTCTTCTCTGTGGATTAACCAACTCTCTACATTTTCAGCTAATGTACTCTGATGCTGCAAAACATTAATATTATGATAATAAAACAACTCCAATATTAGGCTATCTTAATGTAAACTCTTGCCCCTAAAATACGAAACAGATTTAAATCCAAGTAAATCATTTTAGATGTTCTTGCCCTTTTTTGCTTCTGCTTTGTGTTCCACATCTTATTTTTCATTGACTAATTTGTCAATCATTGTGCCTAGTTTCAAATAGTGTGCTCTTTTCAGATCTAATAACATGATCCTTGTTCATAAATTATCCTGTAGACTACTAGCTACACTTCAGAAGTCAGAAATATTACATTTATTTCTGTTTTATAGTTAAATAAACCAAAATTATTTTAATGGCTTTATTAAACAACATAAAAATTCAATACACAAGAGCGCACACTATCAACTGGAATTAAAAAGAGTTTTAGAAAAAATATAGCAGACCTCCATATGTGGATTGGCAAATGGAAGTCTTAAAGGAAGTAGAAAGTTTATTTAAAAAATAAATTTCACAACGAAGTCTATAAGTACTTAGCATTTGTCAAGTGAACTTGACCATGGTGATTCAAGGGTTAATATTTTTAGCATTTCCATCAATTTCGAAGCTACACCTGAGGACTGGAGATGGTGAATACTCACTCAATGTATAAAAAAGGTAAGATGTGAACCTAGAAATTATAGACCAGTTATCCTGACATCTGTAGTGGGGAAAGATGCTTCAGTGCTTTTTATGGGATGTAGTCAGTGTACATGTAAAGTTAAGAATGCACAGGCCATAAAGAGTAGTCAGTATGGTGTTAGAAGCAAGTTTACTACATTCTTTGAGTCATTAAATTGGTGGAGCAGGGCAATCCAATGGATTTCATTTACCTCGAATTTCAGAATATTCAATAACACAAATCATCTAGCTATGTTGAAAACCAGGTTGATAATAGAAACTGGAATGGGAAAGAAGGGGCAATGTTGAGAAATATGCATGGATTTCGAGCCCATCGGTTGAATGTCTCTATAATATTCAACTGTAGAGCTTTCACAGCTAACTGATCCATTTCAAACTTGAAATCCACTGCATTTCTCCAGCTGTTGTCTGTAGTAGCGATGTCTTACACCGCCAGAACCATTTGCTTCTCTGACTTGACCAGAGTCTGGATCTTCACCTTTCAAACCAATTTAGGCCTAATAATAATCCCTCAAGAAAAAAAAACAGTAATAAATTGGTCACTTCAATCCAGGACTGTTTGTGTGACCCTGCTGTGCGCAATTGGCTGCTGCATTTCGCCCGCAAATATACAGTCAAAAATTCACTTATCAGTATGTTCTGTGAAGCACTTTGAGACGTCTAAAAGAAGTGAAAAGCCCTATATCAAATGCAAGGATTATTATTATAATGTTAATTTGGGGAGCATTATCACTACAGGGACTGCAGCAGTGTGAAGAGAAAGGCCATCACCAGCTTCTTAGGACAACTAGAAGCTGGCAATAAATCCTCGCATTAACATTCACCTACGTCTGAAGCCTGAGTTTTTTTTAAAAAAGTTATAATGGGGTCGGGAATGCATAGAACTTGTTTGATTAATACTGTACCTTAACATTAACAAAGAGGATGAGAGGAAGAGAATTTCTCTCGATCTCGTCCTCACTTCATTGCAGGCAGTGCCTTGGCTACAAGGCACTGTCTCAGCCTGGACCATGACACAGCTCTGTGGATGAGAATATGTATGTAGCTTCAATATGGAAAATATATTCTACAGGTAGGTTCAATGTACAATAGCAATATATGGATGTAATTTGTTTAATCCATTTTGAACAACAACAATTTGCATTTATATTGTGCCCCTCACACAGGGTAGAGTCTCGGAGAGCTTTGCAATGGTGGAGCTCGATGCAGAGCTGGTGAGCAAGGGAAGGTGACCATAGGCATGGTCACAGAGGAAGGTCTTTGAACACAACTATTAATTGAACACAACTATTAACATCCTCGCTAATGAAATAAACTGGTTGCACCATTGTTCCCATCTTGACAGTAAAAGTGATGCTAGCTTTCTATATTGTGCATGTTGTATCAATATAGAGATGAATGTATCTGGTGAAATCATTTTAATTAGCTTTTTTAATCACATGATTTGTTTTTCAGGTTTGCAGCTAAAACTGTGAGCAGTGGGGCATTGGTGCTGATCACAATAGAAGTGAAGGAAGGGTCGACAGTTCAGCTTAGCGTAAACACGGAAAAAACTGTGATTGGCTCAGTGCTGCTGCGGGAACTAAAATCTGTGCTGTCTCAGGAGTGACCGGATACCCCTGGAACCAGGCCAGCTGAGCTCTCACTGCTATTGCCTTCATCAATACTATAGTTATTATAGTCAAATCCTTTCCATCCAGCTGTGAAGTGAAAACTCTGTACCGACAATCTTGTCTCTTGCTTTGAAATGCTGTTATATACAATGCTGCAATCCGTATTCTTTTGCATATCATTACCAACAAAGTCCCTTGCCTAAATCTGAACTCTTGACTTTAGAGATTTTGCCAAATCTGTTGTCCTATTTTGATGTGTACTAAGGTATTCGCTGAGTTGAATAGCTGTTGAAAAATGTGCATTAATATATTGCTGGAACATTATACCTTTTGTTCTCCTTAAATTTACTTCCAAGATGTGTGGAGGACCTTCTTTTTATCCTTTTCAGCCCTGTGGTGTTTCATGTCCGAAGTCTTTGACATAAAATGTTGATTATAAATGCACAAAAATAATATCCGTGTGTATAACTGTTACCTTAGTTGTGTTTTGGAAGAAAAACTGGAATGTTGTCAGCTGGTAAAATCATTAGTGGTGGAATATTCTCCAGACCTTACCAGCTGCCCAAATGAATGGAATCTGTGAATTACTGGTTGTATCCAATTTTAAAAAAAGCAGGTAAAGTTCATCCAAAGAGAAATATCTGTATTGCCAAAAAAATCATTGAACACTACATGCTTTTACATTTACACAATCTCCTTTTAGCCAGTTGGATCATAGGACTCTCAACCCAATACTTCTGTGTGCATTAAAGCTGCGTCGACTCCGCAATCTGGCAAGTGTTGATCTCTCAATCTCACTTGAGGATTTGAGATAGGAAGGACTTACACCCCTCCCTTTACATGGGAGAAATTATCTTCAAGTCTGTTCTCATACACTTTCCAAAGGTTGGTGTGGGAGTTGACATTGTGTAGACCTGTAAAGGGCTCGTTGGGCAGTGGGATGGGACATGAAAGAATACAAGAGACAGAACTGTCCTTCTACTCTTTCCTCCCTCTGATTTTGTAACGTATATAAATCATGATCTCAGTAAGAGCTGTAAATTCCCCCTTTTAGTATTTGCACTGACGATAAAGCATTTCGCTGCAGACATGCCAAGAAGTGCTGTTTGTTTAAGCTATCACTGCTGATTATCGGAGCTTTCATCGATTCAAAAATCCACTATTTGCATTGTTTCAAAATGGGATTTCTTTACAGATCATCTTTCCCTTATATGTGTGTGTGCATGTGGGGTGGGGGTGGGGGAGTATTGTTTGTACTAAAATTACCATTTTTTTCCATTAGAAATCAGGAGGGGAAAATATTACAAATCCTGTTGGTAGCTTCTCTACTTCAAAGTAAAAGCAGGAAGCTGGTGCTTGTCGAACAGCTTGTATGCATCTTAATCCTGATTATGTGCCAGTTCTTCAATTACTATTGTAAATCTACCGAGAATAGCCACCAACAGCATTTGGAGGTACTGGTAATGTTGTTCGTCTCTTCCTCCTACATTTGCTTCAGAGGTAAAATGTAAAAGTGAGCTTATTAGATTTCCAAATGGTTAAACCAGCTCCTATTTCAGAATGCTTCTTCAGTGCTGAGAGCTAAATTGGGTTTGGGGTGTGCACTGTAATTATTTGATGATTAGGATTCCAAACAGTATTTTTCCCTGTTTTCTAGTGTAGTTGTTACATCGGGGACTTGTGTTTGTTGGTGTACAGCTGCTTCAGTTGATTTACAGTACTGCGGCTGTAGCCAGTCATAAATAAATCCTCTTATATAGTTGTTATGAACACCTGTTAGATCATCTGTCAGCAAAGCAGTGTTCACATTTATCATGGTGCGGTAGTTATTTTACCACAATCCATTTACAGTGGACTGTGCCTCCATCACTGTATTACTATTACTGCACCATAATCGCTCGTTTCCACTCCATGTACAACTTGCAGATAAAAGATTTCAGTACTTGGCAAAATTTCATAAATAAAGGAGCAGTTCACTGCAGTAAAAGTTTATTTTTGTCATCATTTGTCACACTATTATACCATAAATCAAACGGTACAGTGCTATCCCTGGCACAGACAGCTCTGTCAGCCTAGACATGGAAATGGTCGGTTTCTCTGTAGATGAGATGGCATGTCTTTTGACTTTTACAGGCTGATGGCTTTTCTCACTCATTTGATTTTATTGGATTTAAAACCTGGAGGATTATTGAGGCTGGTGAACTATAGAGACACCTCAGAACATTCATGGCATGATAATTAAACCACCCTTGTTATTAGCACATTTTCCTTAGTAAACAAAGCTACTGCTTTAACGAATCAGCTTTACTCAGAAATGCTGATGGCTGATTAACCATATGCACTAGAGTTAATGTATATATTGGAAAATGGCTTTAAAAATAAAATAATAATCCTTCCATTTGATATAGAGCCTTATCACGTCTTCAAGATGTCTCAAATTGCTTCACAGAATATATACTATAAAGTGAATTGATTATTTTGTGAGTGAAAATTGAGTTTGATGCACAAGATAATGTGAATATTTAAAATGTTATATCTTCACATCTAAATGTGTGCAAAAAAAAACTTCCTTCTTTACTATACATCTTATTCAGGTTTTTAAAAAAAAAATTTACCCTTCATTTGTTTAACACTTTGTCATACCCAATTTACCAGCAACATTTATGACAAGAGTTCTGCTGTATTTACTGGGTGCAATATGAATGTACCATATTTCACTACTGATTCTCCCACGATTCATCTAGCAATCCTGCAATTGTAATATCATTGCATTTCTAGAGAACATATTGTACACTTCACTGCAGGCAGCTGTCTATATAACTGTTGAAGTTACTGGAGATGCGTATATATCAGTTATATAGACAGTGAACTGTAGAATATTTACTTTAGGAAGACAGAAGATGTTATCATAAGGCTCAGAATTGCTGCATGAAATGTGGCACATTTACATTGCACCTATTATATAGGCTAACGTCCCCTGCAGAATCAACTCAGTTTATCAGTCCACTGATGCTGTACTCCATAAATGTATATTTGTAAAAGTCAATGTCCTGTGCCCTCATAACCTGCTTGTAAACAAACCGTTAGCTTTGCACATGGAAGATGCCTGTGATAGAATTCTTCCAGCATTTTAAAATGCTATAAACTTTTCCTGATTTTTCTGTGTTAATAACAATAATCTTTGCATTTGATATAGCGATTATAATAATAATAATAATCCTTGCATTTGATATAGCGCTTTTCACGTCTTCTGGATGTCTCAAAGCTCTTCACAGAATATACTGTAAACTGAATTGACTGTATATTTTGTGGGTGAAACGCAGCAGCTGATTGTGCACAGCAGCGTCCCACAAATAGTCGTGGATTGATTGACCATTTGAAGGGGTTATGACCCCCGGAAAAGCGATCCGCCAATTGACTAGGAACTGGGTTCCTACTTACCGCTAGGTATGCTGAGATGTGTGGAGTAAGGAAACTTGCATAACTTTTCACCCTGCACTGGAATTGAACCCAGGTTCTCTCAGTTGCAAGGTGAGTACTGTAACCAATGCACTACAGGACTCTACGAAAGTTGCACATTAAAGCTGCTGGTTTCAGCGTGCACAGTTACAATCGCCAGAAAGCTGTCGATTTCGAAGATGATGGCTGTTTCGCATTTCCGCGATTATCTCCAATTACATCAATTTGACCCCCAGAGCTATCGTAATTACTCGGCGTGTAAACTTGTTATTACTTAGTGCTTTTCACCATCTCCAACAGGGCAACATACAGCTTTTATAATGGTTTAATTGAGAAAATCATTGGTTTAAACACCACTCTGGCAGGTCTGAAGGCCCATTTCTAGTTGGTTGCCTGTCAGCAAAAGACAGTCCCTGAATGGTTACTTAGGCTTTCAGTGTTGGAGAAGTGTTGATACATAGCACCCACACAGCTTGCTTAGGAATTTAGGTTGTGAAAGCAGTGCAGAGTTGTGCAGTATATCAATATTCTAAGAGTACTTCCAAATAAAATGATTTTTCTGCTTTCCCCCATCCCAATGACTGAACGGGCTTATCTGGTGCGATGCTAAGGAAAACCAGGAAGTTCTCATATTCAATCCCCAGATTCTTGGTTGATCTTAGGAGAGGGGAATGATGGGTGGAGGGCATCGTGGGAGGAGGGGAGGCATTTCTGATTGGTGTCTAGAGCCTCCTGAGTGGGGGTGTCAGATGAGGACAGAATCAGACCTGACTCGGAAAGCTCTTTTCCCCCATCCACTCATTCCCCACGTTTGAAAAGCCTGCTGATACCCACAAGCTCAAACATAAATAATGACCATTTGTCTACCCGTTCAGGAGTGAAGAAGATGGGAGAAAAATTAAGGAACAAACTAATTTTCCAGTTACATTGATTTTGCAGGAGGTGACTTCTGTACCTTAGCAGTGCAAACCATTTTCTGATGCTGAACCTGGTGATGGAGACATTGAGTGTTAGCAGTTATCATAAGTGTCCTTGTGCTACCTACTTATTCAGAGGCTACCTCATCCTCGCGATAAGATGATAGTTTCTCATGTCTCATTGGAATTAATTAATTAATTGGAATTAATTAATTAACACTGCATCCATCTTTGTAGTGATTGGAGTGCAGGCTGCATTTTTGGTGATAATCAACAGAAAAAGTTGCAAAGATCCAGAATTGGTGTTAGTTACCTGTGCAATTGACTAGTGTTTCCAGGCCAGATAAGAGAAAATCCAACTATGGTTCCATGTCCTGTTCACTAGCCACTGATCTTGTTTGGAAAGAATGAGTTTTTGGGTGTTACCTGGGGAAAGGAGTTTGTAATGCCTCCCTTGGTAAAACACAACAACAACAATTTGCCTGGACCATTCAGGATAGCGTCTCAGAGCACTTAACAGCGTGACTCCGAGCCAGGGGAGGGGGGAGGTGGCTGTAAGCACAGTCGAACAGAAAAGTCTTCAGGCGGGACTTGAGAGAGGGGAAAGGTGAAAGGATTGAAGGAGAATGTTCCAGAGTTTGGGGGGCGTAGTCGCTGAAAGAATGGCCTCCGATGATGGGGCGGAGGGTGCCAGGGACGAGCAGGAGGCCAGTGCCAGTCGACCGGAAGTGGATTGGGGAGTGAGGAGTTCGGAGAGGTAGGGAGGTTCCAGGGAGTGAAGGGATTTGAACATGATAGCTGATAACACACTGTTGATGCTAACACGAGGAACACCTGGGCTGATTACTGGAGAGCTGTCAGTTCTGAGCATGATTCACTCTCAACAGGAGAAAAATCAGCATATTAGAGAATATTGGGTACAAAAGCACTTGTGTTGGGGTTTGGGCCTCACAACATGGGTTTGGATATAATTGAAAAACCAATTTTGCTCTTTGAGACATGCTCAATCTTTTTACTTTATAAGCTGTCATGTCAACTTTTTATTTCTTGAAGATAAGTAATAAAATCTACATGTGTGCCTCCTAATGTCTAGTTATAATAATAATACTTGCATTTGATAAAGCGCCTTATCAAGTCTTCAAAACAACTCAAAGTGCTTCACAGAATATACTGTAAAGTGAATTTGATTGTATATTTTGTGGGTGAAACGCAGCAGCCAATTGCGCACAGCAGTGTCCCACTTATGGAACGAACAGTATTGAGAAACAAACAAATTTCCACTCCTCCTTCTGGGCTGGATATGGTAGCTGGCACAGTATTCGCTAGAGGGAGAAGATGGATCTAAAAAGCCTGAAGAGATGATTTACAAAATATGGAACAAAGCATTTTGAATAAAAATGTATATTTTAAACATTAAACACAAAGGAATAGATTGAATGTTCTACTGATGACCGGGCATAGATTTCACATCTAAGAAAGACCTTCATGATTCACTTATGCCTGTGAATTATAGCTCTTTCGTGTTCCTGAAATACATTTCTACCCATGCAGTATCCTGCATTTGTCATCTCCTGCTGCTGCTTGTAACACTGAAAACCCCCAAATTCATACTGATTTCTCAGTTCCAGTTTTGCACATATCCTGGGTTGATGATTTTTGTATTGTTCAGCGCTTTCATTAATTTGGTGTTGTAAAGCTGCACTAACCACAGATTACTTACAGATTAGTATGATGGGGATCAATTACTCATATCTGTTTATGACTCAGTTTGGTGCTGATGCCTGCACTGAAGGAAAATCATCTGAAAATCCTAAGTGTGTTAATGATATGGTGAAGTGCAGCTGAAGCTAATATTGAAGCCCATGATCCATCGAGTTGTCGAGCTGCTGCTATTATAGGGCAGCAATAGAGAATGGATTGTGGGTTTATCACCGCGCACAGTGTGACAACTTGATTTTCTGCTTTCTCTGCAAGCAGTAGCACGACATGATGGGGCTGTTAATTTCTGCATTTCATGGTGTCTGTCAGGGTGCTCAGAAGGAGAAAGAGCGGTTTAGGGAAAGGGAATGGAGCATGTCCCAGCTACGGAAGCACCTGTCTGCGCTGATGGCAGAGAGCACTTCTCATTAGTGTGCAGGTCTCTAACTGCAGCCAGGGACTGACAGAATGGCGTTACCAGCACACACGCTGACAAGCACAGGGAGATCAGCGGCAGCAGGTCCCATTGTTGCCCTTGATGAGCATGTCATTAATGGAAATGGAAGTTGTTGTGGGACACATCAGTATTCAAATAGCTTGCCCTTTATTCTTCATTCTGGTGGCTGTGTCATTGCTGATTTTTACCGTGTCTCTCCCCCCCCCCCCCCCCCACCCGAAGGGGGAGGAGAAGGGGCTGAAAGATTTTAAAAAGCCCAGATTTATGTTGGCTATTAATCTTTTGTATTGCCCTTTAACAATGTTGCTCCACAGCACTTGTGTGACTGTGGGCTTCTCTATCCATCCGATATATAGTAGTTCATGCAGACTGATATTTTTATGTGCATTAAGCCATTTTTCAAGGCCACAGCACATATATAAAATGACAGTTAAGCCCTTTGGATCTGGTTTCTTAACC